CTGTATGGCATCACAAGGTGAGAAGAAAAAATTCATGGTGCTTACAGTGAAACATGGTAGCAGTGTCATTCTGTGGGGCTGCTGGTGCCAGGGATCTACATTTCATTGATGGTATTATCAATTCACAGATGTACTGCTCTATTTTGAAATAGAAGATGCTACCATCACTCTGTGCCCTTGGTCATTGTGCACTTTTCCAAAACGACAATGATCCAAAACACACTTCTAAGACCACTGTTGCATTTCTGAAAAAAGAACAGGGTGAAAGTGATTGAGTGGCCAAGTATGTCTCCGGATCCAATACCAATCGAACACCTATGGGGAGTTCTGAAGAGACAAGTTGAGCATCACTCTCCATCCAGCATCCAGGCTCTAAAAGAAGTCGTTCTTGAAGAATGGAAAAAGATAGATGTCGCCAACGTGTTCATTCCATGCCAACAAAACGTGGTGCTGTCCTTACAAATCATAGTGATCATACAAAATACTAGATGTAGTAGTTTTTGTTATGGGGCATATTCATTTTTGCATCAACTAATTTTGAGTAAAACTGAAGATTTTGTAATCTAAGTTATATTATTAACCTTACTGTCATGTAATGAGCTAAACAAATGTTCTATAAGACTCAGTTTTGTCACAATTTTGGAAATTGTTCTTGTGTTCATTGAGATATTGAGTAAAATCTTACTTTTCAAAAGGGATGTTCTCATTTATGCTGAGCACTGTAACACCAATATGTCAGAGAAAAATAAAAACAATTCAAAACCCACCGAGTTGGAAAAAAGATCACTTGCATCCTAAAAATGACTTGCTTACTAAACGCTATCAGGTGTAGCTAATCACCTTCTTAATGGCACACACAAAGCCATTTGACTTTTAACTGTGATCAGCTGTGGTAATTTTGATTAGCTCAGCATAAAAAAAAGCTTTCCTGGAGCATTTCAGTCCCTGATAGTGCAACTGAAGCAAACAATCAACTATGGGTGGCAAGGCACTGTCAAAAGATCTCTGGGATAAAGTTGTGGACAGGCACAAGTTAGGAGATGGATACAAAAAAATTTCAAAGGCTTTATCAATGCCTAAAAGCACAGTGCACTCTATTAAGAATTAAGAAGTGGAAGGTATTTGGTAAATACAGACCCTCCCTAGATCAGGATGTCACTTCAACTGGATGAAGGAGACAGGAGAAAACTGGTAAGAGAGGCTACCAAGAGTCTTACAGCAACTCTGAAGCAGTTGCAGGAATTTGACAAAGAGTAGTCGTTGTGTGCATGTAACAACAATATCACAAATTCTTCACAAATGAGTGTTGTAAGAAAAACGCCACTCCTCAAGAAAGGCCACATGCAGTCACGACTGAGCTTTGTCAGAACGCACCTTGAAGATTCTGAGGCCACTTGGAAAAAAGGGTTATGGTCAAATGAGTCTAAAATATAATTATTTGGCCTTAACACTAAATGTGTCTGGTGGAAATCCAATACAGCTCACCATGCAAATAACACCATTTCTACAGTAAAGCGTGTATCGGGGTGTTTCTCTGCAGCATGGACTAGAGCACTTGTCAGGATAGAAGGAAAAATAAATGGGACAACATACTGTTACATTCTTGATGAAAATCTACAGGGATTCTGTAGCTCTATCTTCAGATGCCCTGACAATCCCTTGATCTCAGTTCAGGCTCATTTACGCCCTTCCCTTTAGTACGAATCCTACTTCGTCTGCTCAATGAAATAGAATAAGAGAGGAAAACTGTGATTCTAATTGCATCATATTTTTGCCCAGAAGGACCTGGTACGCATACTTTTAGCAGACGACTCCTGGCCTTCTCCCAACAGGCAAGATCTGCTATCTCATGGCCCTCTATTTCATCCTGCTTCTCCGCCTCTGTGTTTATTGGCATGACTGTTGAAACTCCGGTATTAAAGCATAGAGGGGTTTCTGAGTCAGTGATTTTTACCTTGCTGTTTTTTTTTTCACCTGGTGTGAAAACGGGCAGTTCAGTCCCAGACATTTCTCTGTACCTCGCATTCTGGCCTTTCTACAATCAGGTCTTGACCAGAAATTTGCCTCAAAGCGGAGCTCTACCCAAAAGGGGAAGTTCAGCTTTAAGGCTTTTTCCCTTGCTCCCCATTAAAGATTGGCACCTTTGGGGAGCTGGTACCCGAATTTGACGGGTACCCGCTACCACTTTCGCTATGATCGCCTAAGGCCCCCCCCCCCCCCCACTCCCATCTCTCCCCGTAGTCTTCTGGGACACGTGACAAGTCCCAGAAGACTATGGGGCCATTCAGCAGCACTTTGCACGCATGCGCAGTGTGCACCCGGCTGTGAAGCCGCAAGCTGTCACAGCCGGGTGCTCACACTGAAGATGCCGGCACCAGAGGGGAAGACGGGCAGTGAAACCAGTGGTGGTGAGGACACCGCTGGACTGAGGGACAGGTAAGTGGCTGTATTATAAAAGTCAGCAGCTACAGTTTTTTTGTAGCTGCTGACTTTTTTATTTTATTTTTTTTTCTCAGCTGGAACTCCGCTATAAGTAATTCTGAAGGTCATGTCTTGGCCTTTCCCCTTCTTTTTCAAAGGCCTCTGGCTTCACTTTCCCTTGAAAAAAGCCTTCTTCAAGATGTATCTTGTATTAAGCATACCTAGCAGCACCCTGTGCTTCCTTGGGATCATAACTTGGTTTCCTCTGCCCTACAAAAACCATCTTTTTGGATAGTTTTCCCCTAGAGGATCTCCCATGGGAAGTAGCCTTTTTTGGTCTCTATCATGCCTTCCAGGCGCGATTGTGAACTGGTGGCTCTTTCCTCAGTCTTCATAATGACAAGGTTGTTTTATGCCCAAGGTCATCCTTTCTACCAAAAGTAGTCTGCATTCCACCTCATTGAGACCATTGCCCTCCGATCAGTATGCCCTGAACCTAAGCATCTAAAGGAAAACTCTCTACCCTGCCTGGATGTAGTCTGAAGTTTACCTCAAGGCTACTGCTCCAATCAAACGGACAGATTTTCTGTTTGTCCTGTGCTCTGGACCTCATCGGGGGACACCTTGCTTCAAAGTCCATCATTGCACGACAGATATGAAAGCTATCTGCAAGAGCATTTGTCAAATTGCTCCTTCTGCCCTTTTACACATCCTTTCCTCCAGATTGATGGGAGTTTCTTGGGCATTTCAGCACCAAGCCTCTATAGTCCAGTCGTATAAAGCTGCCACCTGCTCTCCTGTTTGTACATTTTCAAAGTTTTACTAAGTGGACATCCAAGCTTCTGCTGATGCAGGTTTTCGCAGCAGTTCCCTGAGGTTGGATCTTCTAAACCTTGTAGCACAGTTCTCTTTGCCTCATTTTTGTCCATCTTCCTATTCCTTTCTTGGGGATGTCTTGTGGTGAATGATATTCTGTCTGTGTCCTGTACTGTACAATTAAGATAAGAGGAATTTTAATCTACCTGTAAATTCCATATCTTGAAGTAAAGTAGACACATTAGAGATACCTTTCCATTTCTTGGTTTTCTTCCATTGCTTGCTACAAAATTGAGGACTTACTGAGTGGGGTAAGACTTAGAGGGGAGGCAGCCAAGGGGCATATCCTCTAAAGTTGTGTCTAACACAAGGCCTGCAGGCTGAATCCAGCCCACCAGGCCATTTCTTGTGGACCTCGCACCCAGGGCTTTTTTTTTTTTTTGCAGCTGAAATTTTCGACTGTTGCGTTCCGCTCCCCGCTCACCACTGTCATTGTAAACACAGAAGGCTTCTGTTTACAAGGACAGCTCTCCTCTTGGCAGATCCTGCAGATCTCTGCCTGCCCTGCACTCACAGTGGAGACCAGGGAGATGCAGTGTGGAATAGGGCATCACGTGGTAATCTGCACTCTGATCCCCATGTGTGCCCAGGTGCACTGATTCCTACCAGTGTTCTCTCTGCAAGTGAGAGAGAGGCAAAGCTGCGTACACTGCTTGGAGGTGCTAGGGCTCGGTTGGTGAGATGCACTCTATATGTAGTGCACTCCTCAACACTGTATTCTGTACCCCGAATCTCTGTACTCTGTGCATAGGGAACAGTGTAACTGCACTCTGTACATGGCGCATCCTTAAGCTTTGCACATAATGCACTACTGGTATTTATTGCCCCTTTAAGAACCTCCCACTGTTTGATCACACCCACCACACAATGCAGTTCGGTATAATTTATATAGCGTTAGAGATACAACCAGCCCTTGGAGGGTAACCATAATGCTGATGTGACCCGGGATGAAATTGAGTTTTGCCAGTGTTCAAACATCTGGAGGTACATGTCTACAATCTGTGGTATGTTAATACTTTGTGTCCTGTACTGTACTCAGATATGACATTTTTACTGGAAAATTAAATTTCCCCTTTTTTGACCATCTGTGTTCCAGCTTTTACTTTTATTTTATTGTGCTTTCTTAGTTGATGCAGGATGCCCCTATGTAACATGGCTCCTGACAGATATCCCGTCTGGCTGCATTTAAGGCTAGCAGCCACCCTCCATAAACACTCTTCTCCCAGTTATTGACTAATTTTTTATGCTTTCTAGCCTTTGAACACACTGCTCAGTTTGCATGGGAAAATGCTCTTCTGCAAACTTTATAGACAAATGAATGCGCACAGCTTTGTGTTCTAATTGCATGCGCAATGCTTTTTTTGGCTCAAGCACCACACTTGTCTTTCATATGCAGACCATTTATATAATCAGTAGAAGTGCACATCTGGTTCCTAAAATCCTAATTGGAGATGAGGGATTGGGAAAACTAGTTTATTCTGATACTTTTCATTACGTTTTGGTTCTTGAAAATCTCCTGAATGTTTAGAATTGTCTAATCTGTGAAGGTTCACATTATTAATACATCCAGACAGTCAGGACTCTGAATGCACATAGGAAAAACTGAGAATTGCAATTCTATGAAGATCACCCTATTTACATAATGGTGCTGTCATTTCTAGTTTATAAGATTTTTATTTTTTTTATTTTTTTTCTACTGTAAGGTTTCCATGGCAGCTGCACATGCAACATCCTCACCTCCCACGGTGACTTTGGTTCAACTTCCTAATGGGCAAACAGTTCAAGTACATGGGGTTATTCAAGCTGCACAGCCATCTGTCATCCAGTCCCCGCAAGTGCAGACAGTACAAGTAAGTCACTTCAGTAATCCGTATTTAGTGTGTTGTGCTTAATATATGAATTTAATGTTAAACAATGTGTAGATGCCCTGTATGCCCTCTGGCCTTTTAGGTTTGTGTAGTTTTTGCTTTTTGTTGTTCTGGGTTTTGCTTTATATGAAAAAAAAAAATGCAATATGCACATTTTCATATTGAAAGTGTATATTTGTTCTCGATACATGGTAGAAAACTGTTGTGTACAAATTAAAGTTGTTCTACAATTATGTTTAGTAGAGCTTGGTTTTTCTCCATTGAAACTCAGAGCCAGACAATAGTAGGGAAATGTAAGAAAAGATAGAGCGACTGCAGCTGTAGAAGCTGGGACCAGATGGTCTGCTGTCAGAGTACCAGAAGTATAGCAATAGCTATGCTCGGAGCATTTGGAAAATATAAAGAAAAGTCCAAGAGGTGGCATGCACCTTGTTGGACCTAACCCATATGTAATCCTGTACATTTTACAAAGTACCTAAATTCCTGGAGTTTAGTTTTGAGATTGCTGTTTTAGGCCAATTGCCTTTTCTAGTATTTTAATATAATAGGTATCTAATTTGAAAAATAGGACTAGAAATGTGCTTTGTTTTTGTCAGATATCAACAATTGCAGAGAGTGAAGACTCACAAGAATCTGTTGATAGTGTTACAGATTCGCAGAAACGCAGAGAAATTTTGTCAAGACGACCATCCTACAGGTATGTTTTATCGGTAAACAATAGCCATGCACTTTTTGTTCACTCCATCCATATTTCTTTACTACCTGAGGCAAGCTGTAGTAAGTCAAAATGTGAAGGTCTGTTGAACGCAGGAATTAAAAAAAAAAATGCTGAGTTTTTAAACTGTTCTGAAATGAGATGCATTGTTGTCTATGGGACATTTCACACAGCTAAGTAAAGATTAGTAGTACGTTGAGTGCAGAGCAGTAAAACAAAAATAGAAAATTTTACATTTGAGTGCAGTCGTTTACTCTCATACATGTTTACTCATCTATAAGCATGTTTATGAGAGTATAAATGAGTATATTACATTACTGGCAATGAAGAAGAGTTTTACTTGTCTATACAGTTACACACCTTTCCTCATCTATACTCAACATTACTCAGGCCTTTAAACACAGTTTTTGGCCCCATGTACATGGGCATTAGGTTCCTGAGTAAACATCGGTAAACTATGACACCAGTGTGCAAGGGGCCTAAAGTGTGTGGGTTTTTTCTGAAATTCATTCAGAAAACATAATTAAAATATCCCCCTTTAATTTCATTGCAATCAATTTCAGTTCCTTATAACACAGTCTGACATGTGATGTTCAGTGAAGGGAGGATGAGAGAGAATTTGTTAACACTTATGTTATTCAATTCATGCACATAAAAAAAACTTTAGAATCTCACCAGGACCACTCATCTCATGAGATTTTCTGCATGTCTGAGCTGTGACTGGCATCTCAAGGATGCCAAGAGTAATTTTTTTTTGCCAGGCACATTATTAAATATGTAAGTAATAAAAAATGATTGCTTTATTCAGAGATACAATTAAGACTAACATTCTACTTCAAAGTGAACCTGTAACCAGGTCATGGACATCCAACAAATTACATTTGCATGCTAGGATTTTCCTAACTTTAGTCCCTACAGGTAATAAGTAATTATTTTGTGTGAAATTTCACTGTCAGAGTGACTGGATTCCAATATTAGGCTGCCCTTCTAAACTTGCTCTACCTCCCATATATGATGATATAGCCTTTTCATCTCAGTCTTACTCTGTCCTGCATGCTCTCTGAGGCCTATGTAATGTAAACCAAGGCTGCCTTGGGTGTGCATTTGTTTAGCTCTAGCCATGTTTTTACAGAGTTGCTATGATACAGCAGACAGAGTTTCAAATTAAAATGGCAGAACATGCAGTGCTTTGCGGTGATAACAGAGTAAATGTGGGGCTTGGTGCTATTCCTAAGATACTTGAGGGCGTTGGTGTTCCCATGGACTGGGAACAGGTTTTCTTTGCATGAAATTTTTTTTAGCTCTGTAGTTAAAGTGGTTGATTTTTTTTTTTTATTAAAATAACAAACATGTAATACTTACCTGCTCTGTGCAATGGTTTTGCACTGAACAACCCCAATCCTCCTCTTCTTGGTTTCCCCCCAAATGTTCCTGGCTCCTTCCCCTCACTGTGTGCCTACCATAGCAATCTGCTTCCTTTGGGGCACTCGTATTTGCTTGCTCCCAAGCCCACTCTGTGTGTCCATAAGACACAAAGAATGTGGCTCAGCTCTGCCCCCCGCTCCCTCCTCACTGGCTGTGATGGACAATTACCAATAGCTCCTGATGCTGTTTCTAAGCCAGTGAGGAGGGGGAGAGCTGAGAGAGCCTTCATACTCGTGCACATCACTAGATCGAGATTGGCCTCTGGTAAGTATAAGGGGTGGTAAAAAGGGCTCCTAATAAAGGTTGAAAGGACTGCATGCGTCCTAAAAAAGCACTCATTTGACATGTCTGATGTTAAGTCAAAGGCCTCTTTCACAGGGGGCGTACTAAAGCATACTGCTGTGGAGAGCCAGCTTTATCAGCACAGGCATGCACAGGGGTTCATGCATCCCCATGCAGGCAGTTCCATTGATGCTCCCAGGTTGACATCCATGTAGGTGCAGTTGTGCATCCCCGAACTCACACTGTGTGCATTCAGGAACACACAACAACTCCGATGTCAGATTGGGAGCAATGGCTGTGTCCGTGCAGTGCCTTTGTACCAGTTAATATTAGTGGGACTGCCTGCACGGGGATCTAGGGAACACCTGTGCATCCTTATGTGGGTAAACATGGCCCTCTGTGGGCGTATGCTTTAATACACCCTGTGTGAATGAGACCTAAAAGTTAATATACAGTCTCATGGGTAGCCCTACAACAAGTGCAACCAATTGTGCGGGAAAATTCTTCATTGGCAAGACAAATATAAAAAAATTAGATGCCTATTACTCATCATCCCACTGTATTCTAGATATATCTTGGAAGAATGATGTCATCAGAATTGTTCCCTAAAATTTTTCTATACCTTCTTAAAGTGGAGTTTAACTCATTTTTAATATATAGCAAGATTCTAATGGTCACCCATAGTGCTACAATGTTTGGATAGTTATAGGCTGAAATTTTTAAAGAACATTTTCAAATAGTCTTCCCCGCGAATTCCGGTTGCAGCTGCCTAGGCGAATATGTCTTCAGCCTGGCACGAAGACTCCTGGGATATCTGTTATCGATCCCAGTAGTCTTCTGGCGGGTACGATTGCTAGACAGAGCAACAAAGGGCACCTCGCAGTGTTATTACTGCGCAGGCACGAGATTGGGAGGTGCATGCTGAGTAGACAGCTGTACGAAATCCAGAAAATGAAGCCAGGCCGACTTCAGCTGTGCCCACATTCTCCTTGGGTACAGCTGGAATTGAGGGAGAGAAAAGAGAACTAATCATTTTGTAAGTAATTATGATGTATACATGGGCAGAAATATCAATTGTGGATCTAGTGAATAACAACAATCTCGATGATGTTATTAGTATAATGTTGTCTAGTAGACTGGAACTCCGCTTTAAAAGCTTAACAGCAGACAGTATTTATTGAAACTCTGTGTGCTCTACTCTTTTTGCCCAGTTTTATTTTTTGATGATTTGTCCTACTATAATGCATACATAGTCTAGCAGAAAGTGGAATGTGATTAGCAATGCTATAGTTACTGCAAAAGAAAAAATATAGGAAGTTGCCTAGGTTTTCCCCCTAGTTCTAGCCTTGCACGTTTTGCAGCTCCAGATGCATCCACATATGTTTCAAAACAATACTCCACGTTTATGATTTGCTCTTGGTATGATGACTTACATTTACTTGCAAGTACTTCGTTGTTAAAGCTTGGCCTCCCAGGGTTAATGATTTTACTTTATTGCTTTGCACGGGGTTTAACAATACGGTGTTGGCCAGGGGCATGTACAGTGTAATTTTTCTTTAGCAATGGGGTCTGTTTCTGCAGCGAGAATATAATTAAAAGGGATAGTTCACCTTTACCAAAAAAACTGCCTATGCAGTTAAGGGAAAACTGTAGATAGAAACAAACCGTGCAGGTTTGACAAAATTAAATAATGCCTTTTTGCTAAAGTTGTAGATTATTCACATTCCTCCTGAAGTTTGGAAGGAAAACTCTGAAAAATGGCATTATCCTGTCCTGCCTTGTTGCTCGGACATTGCTAAAACTCTCCCAGCTGTTAGTGATCACCTCCACCATCACAGGAGCGAACTCTCAAACCCCCACACGTATGTGGTTCACTATCTCCTTGTTACAGCATTGCTGAGCTCAGAACTACTGCGTTAGGGGAAAGAGTGCGCATGCGAGGGGGTTTGAATTGACTGGCAGTGTCTTGGCAATGTCCTACATTTAACCGTTGTAGGAGTTTTTAAGGCGATTTTGAGCAAAATAGTGCAATGCAGATATGCACACTCCAGCAATGGCTGCATTCAATTTCTCGGGTGGGATTCCTGATGATGTCTGTAGACCACTCCTGTGTAATCTGTTTTGATGCGGCCACTTGAAGTCCCCATTGGAAGCCCATGTTCCAGGGTGACCTTGCAGGAGTATAGTTAGTAGATAGGGACAAAACAACAGTGCCCTATAATAGGAAGTACCCAAACAAGGATCTTCAGGGCAGGATCAACGGGTAATGCTTTAATAGAAGCTGCAGATTTTAATAATATTAAAAATTACATTAACCTGTTAAAGCACAACCTTACCCATGCTCCTTTGCAACTCTTTGCGTCTTTGCAGCTGGTGAGAATACCTCTTCGTATAGGGAGCTTGTGACCTGCTCCCCTCTGAAGCCAATCACTAGGCCCAAGCGTGAACAAATGACCAGGGGAATTATGTCAGCCCTGGGTTACCAACACAGCTGATCTTGGCACTGGCTGCAGAGGAGCTAGGAGCTCTGTCAACAAGATTATTTGGCAGTCTGGGTGTGAATAGTTTTTTTTTCTTCTAAATATATTACCTTCCCCTTCATGGACAAGTGACCATGTTTCTTTACAGTAGTGCTTTATTTTTGTTTGTCTTTGTGTTCCCAACAGAATACAGCTTGTGAGATATTATTTAAATTTCTCTTCACAGAAAAATTTTAAATGACCTTTCTTCAGATGCACCTGGGGTACCAAGAATTGAAGAAGAAAAATCTGAAGAGGAGACTTCTGCTCCTGCCATCACAACAGTAACAGTACCAACACCCATCTACCAAACCAGCAGTGGCCAGTACAGTATGTAGTGTGCAGATTTCTTACCATCAGTTTTTTATTTTTAAAGCATGCAGTGTAACTATCCAAACATTTTAAGTGTAAGTGAATTTCATAGAAGCATGAATTCTGATGCTTTTATTTCTATGAGAAAGTTTATTTTACATGCGTGCCAATATAGTAAAGTGCACAAATGCCTCCACTCCAGCAAAGCAACGTTAGTGTGCTCCCTCGCCAATGCTGATATCTATACCCATTTTTTTCTTCTTGGTTTGGGACCTCCTACCATCTTCATTGGCTGGCATGCATGCACATCAGAGTTAAGTGATCTCTGGCACTTGGCAAATGCTGGGATTGTTTACACGCACAGCTCAGTGAACACTGTAAAAGGATTTGGAAAAAGGAAGGTAAAACTTCATGTGAGGGCCGTGCATGCCCTCATGGGTGTTCGGGATGCACAGGTGTTCCATGTGGGCATACATGCCCTTTGCATGGGCCACAGGTTTATGTGCCCGTTAATGAGGCATAAGACACCTTTATTGCAGAAATGATGTAGTATGACTATTCTGCAGTTAATGCAAAATACGAACAGGGATTTTTTTTTTTTTTTTTTTTTTTTTGCTAATGTTCCACTTTTTCAAAACTCAGACAAGTAGAATGTAGCTGTCATCTATGACTATTTTCCCTATACAATTTCAAACCTTTTTTTGTACCTGGCAATGTTTTGAAACACCTACAAACTTAGTTATGCTTTATGATTCATCTATTTAAAGTTGAACTCCAGGAATCAAAATATCTTAATTGTACAGTACAGGACATAGGCTGGATATTCCCACACCCTGAGTTATAGGCTGCTACGTTTAGGTGACTGGACATTGCCAAAGCTTTGCTGGTCGTCACACCCTCAAGGACAGGACAGTTAGATTTGCAGAATGCGCTGAACCATCTCTTGTCCCAGGGATTAGTCGTTCCAGCCCCTCTGGAGGACAGGATCATGATGGTTCAGTATGCTTATCTACATATTCCCATTTACCTCCCCCGTTAGTGATTCCTGCATTGCACATTTCCAATTTGTTGCACTACCATTTTACCTATCCCATCGAGAATATTCACTTGGCACCCTTTCTTGAGAATTCTAAAGAATTCACGTAACAGGTACCTAGACAACCTTTTTCTAAAGGATTCATCACCTTTTCAGCTATCTGCAAAGACTACTCAGAATGGTTCAGACTTTCGGTTGGATAATCAAACGCTTGCTCTCCAATCTTTCCTTCATCTAGCATAGTTAGCTTCATTCGGAATACAGTTCAGGCAAAAGTCTTCTTCCAAAAAACAAAAGCCTCTCTCTTGGATCTCATGCTTGTATCCTAAGAAAAGACGCATTGCTCAGTGAAATTCTCTGAGAGTTCTAGGCCTCATGGTAGCCTCATTTGAGACTGTCCCCTTCGTTTAATTCCATTCAAGGGCTCTCCAACGCAATATCTTGTTGTAATAGAACAATCACACTACTTTTCTCTACCTCCCTATGCACCTCTCTAGCTGGGTGAATTACAATCAAGCTTTGACAATGGGCAAGTCACTTCTACCACACCCATGGAGGGTGATAACAGATACCTCACAGTTCAGGGGAGGGGACATGGTCATGTCAAAGCTGCCAAGCTCCCCATCAAAATCCTGGAACTCTGGGGTAAAACTAACTCTGAATCACTGGATCCCCCATCTTTACCCACTTCCTGTCCGGCCCATGTATATAAACAGCCGGACGGGAGCAGTGCAGGGGCGGGTGGCCGTTTATAAACAGCCTCCCCGCCCCCCCCCCGGCTTGTGCGCGCTCCCTGGTAGCGTGCAGAATGGTGCTCGCTGTGTCCTCCGGACACGGGAACACTGATCGTTGTACTGGACCTCTGTGTGAGGTCGCGATCATATGATCACTGATTGGCCAATCAGTGATCACATGCAGAGTAGTAAACAAGATGTCACTTCTGACATTGCTTACTACGTGTGAAGTCTGTGAATGATCACAGAGGTCACATGGTACAAGGCTATTCACAACAGCCTTGTACCATGTGACAAGCTGTGACCAATCACAGCTCACACAGTATTTCTCAATGACTGCAGCCAGAGAGAAGGAGAAAGTATTGCTTTTACAGCCTTTATGGGTGTAAAAGCAATCTGTGAAAAACAAAAAAATGGTGACACTACTGCTAGGGTGACGGTATGTAAAAAAAACAAAAAAAAAAAAAACAAATAAAAATGTAAAAAGAATTGTGAAAAATTATTTTTGGTTATAAACTAATTTGGATTTTTTTTCTTTTTTTTTTTCCTAAAAAGATAACTGAATAAATTTTGGCCAAGATTTATGAAGAAAGATTATTTATTTGCAAAATTTTATAAGAAAAACACTTTTTTTTGAAACTTTTTTTGGACTTTTTCATTTATATAGCAAAAAAAAAGAAAAATCTCAGTGGTGAATAAATACCACCAAAATAAAGTTTTATCTGTCAGTGTTACATGACCCCGCAATTGCATTCGAAGTGTGATGGCACTGAAAACTGGCCTGGACAGGAAGGGGGTAAAAGTGTCCGGACTTGAAGTGGTTAAGCTCACTTGAACAGGGTACAATCAGACAACACCACAGCTGTAGCTCATATCAACCACCAGGGGAGTACCAGGAGTCAGCCAGCCTTATAGGAGTAGGTCTGATCATCTTATAGGCAGAGAAACATTGTCCTGTCCTCCCTACTGTTCACATCCCAGAAGTGGATAGTTGGAAGGCGGGTTACCTCAGCCATCACCACCTGGACCAAGGGGCATGGTCATTGCATCTTGACATCTTCATTTTTCTAAGTCAGAAGTGGCGAACTCCAGATGTGGACATTTCTGACCTATAGATTCAAAAACAAGTTACTTCTGTTTGAAGCCAGGGCCAAGGATCCTCTAGAACTGGCTTCAGATGCCCTGATAATTCCCTGGACTCCATTCCGGTTCATAAATGCCTTAACTTAAATGTGAATTCAATCTCAAGTGATCCTCTAAATAAAGCAAAGGAAGAAACCAGTGACTCTTGCCTAGAGGGACCTGTTACACAGACATAATCAAACTTCTAGAACATGATCCTGCCTCTTCCAAACAATCCAGACCTTCTATTTTAGGACCCCCTGTTCTATTCTGCTTCCCAGTCTCTGGCTTTGACTGCATGGCTGTTGAATCATAGGTCTTGAAGGACAGGGATATCTCCTGACTCATTTCCACATTGCTCAAAGCCTTAAAAACCCCTTCCAAGAAAATTTACATCACACCTGGAAATCTTTCTTGCCTGGTGTCAGCACAGGCACTGCTATCCTAGAGGTTTTTCCGTGCCTCGTATTCTGGCCTTCCTATAATTGCGACTTGTCTTGAAGGACAAGACAGGTTTTGCATTTTCCATTTTGTTCTAAAAGCCTCTGGTTTTATTTTCGCTTGTTAACAAAAAAACTTTATTCCAGGTTTTTTCTTGGGTTAGTCCAGCCTTTCTCAAGCAGGGTGCCCAGGCACCTTGGGGTGTCTTCAGGGGTGCCTTGGCAAAATGTCTACAAGTTGCTCAAAAGTTGTATACAAGCCAGCGGGTGGAACAAGCCTGCCTTTTAGTTACACAAAGGCACAGGTTTTCATTGTGCACCATTACGACCTTCTAGCCGCCAGCATCCTGACAACCAATGACATCATCAGTTGCTAAGGAGGATGTCAGATGCCTGCACAGCCTCCTTGTTTGACCCTCCCCCGCCCCTCTCCATCAGTGCTGGTGTCACATTAGCTCAGTGATGGATAAAAACTGAGGGAGAAAAACACTGGAATACTAGCCATTACCAGTGTGCAAAAGTGTATTTGCTTTGGAAGAATAAATCACCTCTAATGTTGGGTATCCTACATGTGTGGGTGTTGCTGTGTTATAGCCCTTTAAAGACATGCTCGGGCACGAAACGCGTTGGGAGGAGCCTAGCTGTGTACGTCACGCTGCTGAGGCCGTTAGGAAGGCCAGCGGCCATCTTTGGAATCTCGTGTTTGCCAGTATTTTTTGCCAGATGTGAGTGCAGTCTATGTTTTTACACCCATTTAAATAAAATTACTACACTATCAAGAACTTTTTTTGGCTTGTTATTACACAAACCTTTTAAGGTGGTACGATTTGTGGGTCCCTGTCCATCGGTCATGAACATATGATGAGATGTCCCTGGAGAATGTGCGTATGGTCCGATAATCAACTTGTATGCTGAGGTGTGCCAGATGATTGCCTTGGTCCTATCCATATCCAGATGATTCTGACGGGATTTACCTTTTACACAAATGCGCAAAAAGATTGCGCTTCTGGTTAGTGCATTCACGTTACCATTTTCTTATCACTCAAGTCACGGAATTTACGGAATTGAATTATTGCCTCAATGGACTTCATATTCACCACTATTATCACTTGACTACAGTCTATTGATTATTGTTTTTGCGCTTTATATGTCAAATTTGGATGTTTTATGATCTTTATCACCTTTATGCCCACTGGCGTTTGCTTCATTTTACTTTATTACTATTTATCATTTTAGCACTGCATCCATTTTATGAGAATTTGTTAGAGGATAGGAGGTATACCTTGATTGCTAGCAGCTTAACTAGCGCTCATTTTATATCCTATTTTCTATGTTTTATGTAAAATTATAGTTTTTCACATTTTAGAATGGGGTGTCTATAATTTTAAAGGGTGCCTCGGGACTGTCCAAAATTTTAAAGGGTGTCTTAGCTGAAAAAAGGTTGAGAAACACTGGGTTAGGCTACCCCTACAGCACCCTGTGTTTCCTTGGGATCCTGCAGAAACCACACTTTGCGCGCATCAGGAAACTGTTCGGATGATCTCTAATACAAAGTTTGTTGGGGTTTTTTTGCTGATTCACATAAATGCGGATTGGATGCAGTTTTAACCGCATCCAATCTACATGATATGTGAAATAACAATGCTTCCTATGGTGTCTGTTCACATATGTCTGCTGCACTGGCAATGTATATTAAAAGAGTCCTGTGCGATTTCTGAGTTGTGTGGTCTGGTTCAGGTGTGGTTTACAGGCTATTGACTTCTAAGTTCTTGAGTTCATCTTTTCTCCAGGTTCTACCAGATAGACATCCAAGCTTCTGTGGATGCAGCTTTTTACTGGAAGGTTTTCTTGCAGCAGCACACACTGAATTAGATCTGTTGGCCTGTCTTGTTGTTGGGCCTGTTGGTACAGTTCTGTTTGCCTTGTTGCCCGCCCTTTCTTTTCATTGCTTGGGGACGTTCCAGGGTCTATGAATGTCAAGCCTATGACCTGTACTGTAAGATTAATGTAGATCAGCACAGACCGTCAGATCTCCATGGTAGATCATGCTGTGTGGGTTCCCTCACAGCCATTGCTGTCAATTGGAAGTCTGTCACTCTCCAAGCTCCTTTGAGAAGTTCTTCAGGCCCTATGGCCAGGTGGACCTTGCCCTTGCTTGGTATTTAGCCAGCCAGCCAGCCACTCACATAAAGGATCCCTCTCTCTGTGATGGTCTAATACTGACTGAGGGAATGGGAAGGGTCAAGCTAGCAAAGGAGGGAGCAACTAAAATCCAATAGATAAAGACAGTGTAGTGGCCTCAAATCTTCACTAGATGTCAACATACTACTAAATAATAATGATCTAGTTCAGTACAACACAGAAAAAATATGTATAGGTTTGACAGAACACTTGCTTTAATGAGGACCTGAACTGCGAAAGCTGTGTTCCAAAAAAGGCAAGCAATAGACCTAGAAATAGTCATCAGTGTTGTCTATAGGTTCCCTTCTGATGATTTTCCCGCATTACTGATTTGCCACTCTGTGTGGAGGGGGGTAATTCTGATGGGGGATCAGAGCTTTGCTTCCTCATGTCAGAGCTGCACTCTGATGACTGATGGGTTAATGATCAAAAAGCAGTGTGAAGGGGTGCAGCAAGCACAGATCCACAAAATGCATGAAGCAAAAAAACTACAGGTCTTCATGTTACAGACTTCTCTTTGCGTAGGAGAACAGAAAGCAGCACAGTAGTGACCTCATGAAGGGCAGTAGTGCCTTAAATGATCTCACCCAGCTAATATACAGCTGTAGCACTGCCAAGTTTAAAAAGAATTCAAGGCACTGTGCGTATTTTTTTTTTTTTTTCTCGCAGTCTTTTTGCCAGTCCGATGACATCACCATTCCAGGACTGATGTGTGCTCACATAGTTACATGTGAGCCCTTCTCAGTCTTGTAGTACTGTGAGCCCAGCTCCTACGGGATGTTTAAACGACAGACTGGTCTCACAGGAATTAAGCAGAATGATGTTACTGTTCTGCTTGAATTGGACTGCCAACGTTGGACCAAGGAGGAAGTCGTGGATAGTACTAGAACATGACATGGATAGTGTAGATAGAAATTGGGATTTTTTTTTTTTTTAAGCATTACAGGGGGTTGGACTAAAAATGGAAAAAATGTTTTAACTAATGTTCACCTTTAAAGTATAACTGAAGGCAAAACTTTTTTTCAGTTTTGGACAGAGTGTAGAGGGATCATACCCCAGTCAGGTTTTTATTACTGTCTGTATCCCCTCTAGGCAGATTAACCCTATATATTTAACCTGTTTATCACTGAAAGTGAAAGTAAAAGAAAATTTCAGGTTGTCCCTAGGAAAGTAATAGAGGTGAAAACTTCCAATTGTAGACACTAGCTCTGGTGACCAGGGGGGGGGGGGGGGGGGGGGGGGGGGGGGGGTGTATGCAAGATTTTGTTTTGTTTTCTTTTTTTTGGTATGTAAAATTGAATCTTAGTTTTCAGAGCCTTTGATACAGTAAAAGATAATTTAACTCTTAATTTTAATGCATGCCACAGCAAATTCAGTGAGAAACGGATTACAGTGCATGAACATTCATAAGAGCATTTGCATAAAGATGGAGGCATTAGACTGAAAGCAGAATTTGGATATTGTAGGGAGTGGTGAAAAACATAGGCCACATATGACAGTGCTTTTTCACTGTACAATGTCTACTTGATATAAATGTTTTAACTTTGAATTTCTTTTTGTCTCCCAGTTGCCATTACTCAGGGAGGAGCAATACAGCTAGCGAACAATGGTACAGATGGAGTTCAGGGTCTTCAGACATTAACAATGGCAAACACAGCAGCAACTCAGCCTGGAACTACAATACTACAGTATGCACAGACAACAGATGGACAGCAGATACTTGTTCCCAGCAACCAAGTTGTTGTTCAAGGTGAGGTTAATGGCCCTGTTTTGCATATCAGTCTGTTATCGCAACATAAATATTGTAACATGGGTGCATGATAAAATGCCCAAACAGATGTTACCGTCAGTAAAACGGCATATCAAACCACTCATTAGATCCAAAAATATAGGCAGTATAATGTATATGCAAAACTTGCCTGGACCCCCACTCACGTTTTGATTTTCCCTTCTTGGTCATTTAAATTGTATGTACACTTTGCAGTCAAAATGGGATATCACCCACTTTATATTTGTTACATGTTCTCATTTATATAGCATAATTTAAAAATTGCTAGTTACATTTTACTTGTTTTTTTTTAAAAAATTGTATGGCAGGCTGAACAGTGGCTGTATACCCATAATTAACCCTGTCTGTACTGTGCTGGCAGATCTTATCAGTTGTAAGCTAGATTTGAACACTGTCGGTTCCAACAGAGCTTTCAAGATCTAGTACCCAGACTTTGACATTGTATGTTATTGAGGGAAAACTGTGTGCTACTCTGCTTTACAGGTAATCTTCTTATAATGTTCACTTGTTCAAATTTGGTGGTCTTTTTCCTGCTTAGCTACCAGATGTTCCTCTTTGACTAAGGATGTAGTGTTTATAAGACTCTTAGTTGCGTATTTCTGACCGACATTTTCTGCTGGCAACGTCCGTAATCATTTTGTTTGATCTGCTGCATTAATCAGACATAGGTATTGGAACTCTTTTAGTGCCTGGGTGGTCGCGATTCCCTCATACTGTACATGCTACTCCTCCTTAATCCACGTCCAGTGCATGAATAACCCAGAGGGAATGACCCTCATTGCCAGTGGAAGATTGCAGTGAAATGGGGAACAGGAACACACGGGACAGATGGCTGTAGGCCCTGTGGAAACTCAGAAGTTCCTCTTCAGTTGATGTTTTCCTTCTGGAGCAGGGTCTTCCACCAACATTGTTCCAAGTCCCCGAGCTCCATTACATGTATGCAACGTGAGGCCTGTGTGACTTGGGGTCTGTTCACACTGTTGCGTTATAAAATGCAATATGCATTTTTTTTTTAAATGCATATCGCATTTTTAGTGCATTCTTCATGCATTACATTAAAATGTAATGCAACACACAATACGTTTTGCATGCATTTTTCATCCCTGGTCACCTGGGAAAAAATTGCCACGTGACTCAAAAAACGCGCTTAAAAAAACTTGCGGTGCATTTTTGCTGCATTTTTTTGGTGTGTTTCAGTTGACTAAAGAAAGGTGCGTTTTTCAAAGATGCACCAATCAAGACTTTTTAAAAACACAGCACACTAAAAAAAATTTCAGCACAGAGATGTGAGAACTATTTTTCGTGCACTTTTGTCATGCTAGAAATGTGTGTTTTAGTGCAGCAAAAAAGCACCAGTGTGAACAAGGTCTTAGGCAGAATTTACTTCCTTCAAATTAAACCTTTAACACCCACACTAGTGCCCAAATCTCCAGCAGCTGTATATCACACAATTTGTGCTTAAATTAATATTACTCTCAGTATACAGTGCTCTTACAACTAGAGTATAAGTGTGGTGGTTGCACACAGTGGTGGAGAGAAGCACAGAAGAATTCACATTTAAAGAATTATGGTGCAATCTATATGCTTGTGTTACACAATTTGCACGGAGCACTTTACCCAGTGAAGCCAATATATTATAAGGAAGAAGAAAATTTGCACTTTGAACATTTTCAGTACTTTGATGGACAGTTATGTTGTGTTTTGTGAATAATGCACTTTATATATGATTTTTAAAAGTTTTATGCTCTAGTTGGAAGAATGCTGTGTACTAAGAGTAATAAGAATTTACTTCCATCTGATCTCTTTGCAGAGGCTATTTCCACTGCTGGAATCAGCCGGGACTAAACAGCCACAAGTGTCAATAAAGAAAATTAGCTGGCAACCTGGTACATTCCAAGTTCCAAATAACTTTATTAGGTTACTTTTAAAAGCAGAGGCAAGTGCTTTTTTGCCCATCCCCACTCCTCCTTCCCTGACTATAATTATAGGCTAGAAGCAATATAGCCTGACATATCTGGTAGTGGTGTGCCAAAACTGAAAATTCAAAATGCACTTGGCCAAAAAACTAAACCGAAATGCACAGTTTTAAAAAATGAATATATATTTTTTGGAAAAAAATACACTGTGATAAAAAAAAACAATATATACCCCCATTTTTTTGTAAAATATGAAAGAGGATGTTGCAGTGAGTAAATAGATACCCAACATGTCATGCTTTAAAATTGCACTTGCTAGTGGAATTGCATGAAACTGCAAATTTTTAAAAATCTCCATGGGTGATGCTTTAAAAATTTCTACAGGTTAGCAGTGTAAAGTTACAGAGGAGGTCTAGTTCGAGAATTATTGCTCTTGCACTGACGTTTGTGGCGATACCTCACGTTGTGTGGTTTGAACACCATTTACATATGTGGGCATGGCCTACATATGCGATCATCATTATGCGAGCACGGGGGGACAGGGGAACTTTAAACTTTTTTTTTTTATTATTTATTTAATGGTTTTTTTGCACTGTCCCTTTAAAAAATTTTAATCAATTTTATTCTTATCACAAGAAATGCATGCATCCCTTGTAATAGAAATAATTAGTGACAGGTCCTCTTTATGGAGAGATGTGGGGTCAATAAGACCCCACATCTCTCATATGCAATGTAAGGCATTCAATCAAAAAAAATCATTGATCTAGTGCTTTAGAAGAAAAAAAATGGCCAAAACGAGAAGTGACTTCGCTCCAGTCCTCCAAGGGCATAGAGATGAGTGGCAGCCATCTTTTCTTCACTCATCTCTATGCCCAGCACCGAGATCGATGGTTTCTCAGGTAAGGCTGAGAACTACCAAGCGGTGGCGAGGGGCGGGGTTTTTTCGGCACCTGTATCAGTGTTTTTTGTTTGTTTTTTTTTTTATTTCGGCCAACGACCGAAAGGAGTGTTTTCAGCGGAAACATTTCAGCCACTGAAATTTCGGTGCACCCTTAATATCTGGAGACTTTTTCACTGCCAAAATTTAAAGAATCTGCTTCTTTTAATTTCTCATCACATGTAAAATACCATGGAGTCTAATCTAGGCAGTAAGTACTGGTCTCTGGTTGGATATGCCTAGTGCTTGCATACACAAAAATGCAAAAGGTTGGCCTTTTGTACAAAGGAGGTTATTTCCCCTGCCTGATAACTTTAATCCTTTCACTGCCAGTCACTTTTGCATTTTTTTGCACACTTGTTTAAAAAATCATTTTACACATGAAGATTACTGAAACCCCCAAACAGTATATATTTTCAGAAAGCACACACCCTAGAGAATAAAATGGTGGTAGTTCCAATTTTTCAGTAAAAAACACTAAGTGAATTTTGGGGCAAACAAGCACAATAAATTACCCATATTTTTGGTAAAATATAAAAGACGAGGTTTCGCTGAGTAAATAGATACCCAACATGTGAACAGAACAAGATACAATTGATCGCTACTAGGTGTCACTGATAGTATTACTAACAAGGGAGAGAGTCAATAGTATGATACAGTCTTTTAGTGTCCACTGTAAGGCAGCTTGTAGTAAGAGCAGAAGAAGACTCTGTCAAGGATGCAAGAGAAAAACAAGTGCCATCTGGGTGTAGTAGGAAAATAACCAATTTAATAAAATCAAAGCAATTCACTCACAAAGGTAAGGTAGTCATAAGGCATGGACAATAAGAATGGCCTTCAGTAAAGGTTTCAGACCGCGGTGATAGTGGCTGTGAGCTGGCTGCCAGGCTGTTCTGGAGGCTCCTAGGGCTTCCTGGTCGGTGTGGAACGCAGCCAAAGGCAGAAGTGACGTCAACGACCGAAACTGACATCCAAAGATGGCAACGCCATCTCCTTCTTCAGGCCATAGTGGAGCCATCTTGGAGATGGTATTTATGGGCATCAGGGGCAGATTATGATGGAATTCGCCACTAAATGGGAGATAACTAAAAATACTAAAGCTCAAAAGCATATTCAAGGAAACCATGCTTACTCTCATTATAAAAAAGGGCATATTTAAAAGGACATAAGAAGGGTGACCTATTATAAAAAAAATTATAATGTAGGTTGATATGAATGCAGATACCAACAACGCATGAAAGTAATGTATGAGCAGGAATAAAAACATACATGAAAGATAAAAATATATGTAAAGACTGAAGATTTCATCTTTGGTCGTCAGTTCCAGCCGTTGACGTCACTTCCGCCTTCGGCTGCATTCCACGTCGACCAGGAAGCCCTGGGAGCCTCTAGAACAGCTTGGTTATCCATCAACTCTTGAGAATGTCTTTACTTCCTGTGTATCTGTGCAGAATCTTGTGGCTTAAAGCCTGGTCCACTACTGTGGCGCAGGAAAGAGATGCCTTTTGTGCATGTCTGTTGACGATGAGTTTCTTTTTGGCAGTTCCTTTGAACACCATATTGGGACAGCCAAGGATGGAAGGCGGCTCATGCCTCATTACCCAGTACCACAATTTCCTGTGGAATGGACATTTCCTACCTTATGTACAAGATCTATTAGATAACGTCTTGAACTGATCTTTCCTTCAATCTTCCTTCTAGAGAGGTACACAAAGATTCTTTTAGTTATGTCCTCTTTCCTATCCCTTATTTTTTTGCAGATCCCCTTGCTGTTTGCAGAAAGAATGTGGTCTCCCTAATTTTATTCTGCATTTATGGCACATGGGGTGTTCCTTCTGTTCCACTGCATGGAGATATGACTTTCAAAAAATTTTACATTGCAACACAACCCATACCTTGCACATAAGGGATACTCTTCCAGCTGGGCAGTGTAATGGGTTATATTACTCCCTTTTTACAGATCATATATGCATTACCATATTTTATACAGTTCGGTTATCTGATTTTATTGCTGTTAACTCCCTGAACATTCGAAGGGTTGCATTTAAGGCTATAGCATTCCTTAGCCATCTTATGCCTGGCTACTGCTGCTACACACTTTACTCCCT